TTTCATTCAGCGAATGAGAGCTTAATTGGCTATGGCAGCATTCATTGCCTATTCCTGCTGTGGAGATTAGTGCTGTTAGTAGGTTAGTTCTTTTCCTTGGATCAGGTTTTAAAAATCCAATAATTAGTGTGAAGACCTTTTGGTAAAGGTGTTCGTCATCTTTTAAGACTTGTTGGCGCATTTCTTTGTGCAGTTTACATTGGGTGTTGTTGCTTTAATAAGAATAGACATATTCGTTTTAAATTGATTTGCTTCATTTGAAGAATCTTCTATTTAACTGTACTATCATTATTTTTGCTTCCTTTGTCCTTTCATGCTTTAAAATGGGATAGGTTGTTGTGTGATAATATCCCATGAAAGATGAGGGCATTCATTGACATCTGAAGCACTGCTCTTATTGGTTTTGTTTCTTTCACTCTGTAGCAAATGTTTTGTTTGCAATCCTGAACTGCCTAGAACTTTAAGCTGAAACGCCATTAATCTAGATCCTAAAACTCAATGACCCTGGGTTTGCAAACATTGTGTGCCACTGCAATGCTATCTGGGCCAAAAAATAAACAACCCACAATTTCCATTTGATTCAGATCCAAAAGCAGATAAACTGATCTTCAGTTTATTAGTATTAGTGATTTATTATTACTAACTCCTCAGCTTAAAACCTCTGCTTTGAGCTCCTACCCAGGTTCCATATGAGATTAGGTGATGGTTGTTGAAGGGTTATCCACTTGCATTTTTCTCCTCATCTGTTTTATTTTCCTTACAGCCAGAGGTAGATTCAATTGTTATGCAGTAATAAGCAAGTGCCAAGATGCAACCCTTAATGAGTTTGATGACAGGTGTGTAAAATATTCAGCTGCATCAAGTAAAATGATTCGCTTGTAATGAATGCACTTGACTGTAACTGAAGGTGCATTTCCAGAAGAATACTCAGAATACAAAGTGTGCCTTAGTGTAATTCACATTGATGAAAGAGTTGAAATTGTGAGGGAAAAGTAATTTTAAATGCCAAATGTACTTAGTACGCTGCAATAATGGCAAGTAATTATGGTATCAGCTGTCTCAGCTGACCTGGTAAGTTATTAATTGTTTTTCTGCATCTGCTTCCTGGTTTGTTGGATGAAGGGTGTTTACCAGCTGTATCAAGTGCTAGGCCACTCTTCCTGTGGTACTTCCAAATCACATTCTTATTTTTGTTGGACACCTTCAATGATTCTATCCAAGAAAGGAATGGCTGTCTTTTTGCACTCCTGGTACAGATGTTCTTTCCCTGAAAAATAACTTTGACATGCTAATCTGTACATTACCATACCTAGCCCGAAGTGCTACTGGAGTCTTTCACATTTACAGCAATGCTGGGTCTTCCAAATATCAAGGTTGAGCTGACAACCATTTCCCAACTCTTAAAGCTCAGACACAACATGGTAATGTCGCTGGTCTCAGAAATATTTCCATGTTCATATCATTGTGCTCCAAGTTAGACAGGTGTTTTTGGACACTGCACCCCCCCACCCCCCCTCCACTTCCAGCCCAAGCCTATCCCAAACAGAAAATCTGTGCTACTACATGAACAGAAACAATAGTGACAGTGACACACATTAGCACAGCACCATCAAATAGGAAAAGATCATAGGACACAATGTAACAAGACATGCTGTGAGTTATTTGGATTGGATATAGTTCGGGATCCTTATGTCAGGATCCTGCACTGTGAGGAACACAGTCACCAGCTGTGATTTTATCCCAAATGTACAAATAAGTGGCCAGGGAGGTGGTGTTGCTGATAAATCAAGGATGATGTCTGGGATCTATGTACTGGAGGGCCAAAAGGAAGACCTGCAGCTGGAAAGAGCTACAGCCTTCCAGTAAGGGTACGGATGTGGTACTTCCATCTTACAACTTTTAAAAGATTCTGAATATTTAAAGCATGCCACAGAAGCTGGCTAGTGCAGACGCAAAAAGGCTTCCATAGAGTGACTCGTGGTTACAACTGTGGCTAGGCAGGCTGGCTCCCAATGCTGTTGTGGGGAGGTGAGGGGGCTACAGGCTGACTGGAAGATTCCAGTTGCCTTCTGTAAATTTCAAATTGTTTTCAAATGTCATTTAGTTGTAATAGTTGGTAATTGCATTAAATAGCTATTTAACTATCATAACTGGCTACCTGCCACTTGCAAGTCAATAGCCCTTCTGTTCTGGATGTCTCCTGCAGGATAATGTCTCGGGGATACGTTGGTGCTGGAAACCAGCCGGACAAGCTTGTGTCTAGTTATTTCTGTGCTTACCTTTGTGTGGGAGCCAACGTTTTCACTCAAGTCTTAGTTGTTGAACTGATTTGAACCATTAATGAACATACATTCTCTCTAGATTCATTATGTTGAAGCCATTTTCCTGAAGCAAAAGATAGCATTGTCTACTTATTTATTTGATATTGTCCTGCCAACTGCAACAGCATTTTATTACTTGTTATAATTTCTTCAATAGATTAGATGACAAATTATTTATCCTGGATTTTCATTACTCATTAATATATTTGATAACTTGTTAGTTTAATATATACTGGTTTTGAAGGGGTTGCTTATAGGACAATGATTAACCATAGCTAATGGTGATAGCAAATACAAAATAATATAGTTTTATGCCAAAATAATGCCAGAATGTTGAAACCTGAAAGGGATTTTGCCATTAAGATTGAAAGCAAAGATGTGTTTTAGTGTTTCAATTTCCATTATTTATGATCTATGCAATATCATTGTCAAGCTTACTAGCCATTCTGCTGAAATATTGGCCAGATTTATTTTGTGAACCCGCTCTAGGCTAGTGATCATAATTCCTTGCACGCTTGTAATGCTGGTTTGTGGGAAATTAATCGTGTGATTTATGGGACCAGCAGCAAAGACTCTAAAATGTAAATGTGGGAATAAAAAAAGGCTTGAAAAATTCATATCTGTGCAGAAGCCCCTGACACGGTTTTCTCCTGTGATAGGACAGTCCATTAAAAAAGGTTTTTGGTGATATACTTCAGTGGTAATCACAGGTGGAAGTCAGACTTTAAAAAAAGATCAAATGTTGCTGCAGAGCACAAAATCTTCCTGTGGTGCTGCAATGCTGACCTGACTCTGTGTGAACCTCTGGTGGGTTGAAAATATTCAGAAAAGAGTTCCCAGATTATCCATCAGAAAGAAATTGAAAAGGGTTAAAAAGACTGTGTTGTATCTGCTGTGGATCTTCTGATAGTAACTTGTTCTGAATCACTTGTACTGAGCTCTAGCACAGAGATGCGTTTATTTATCCTTCAGCATGATTGTTTATCTATCTCAGCCCAGTTGACAAGGTTGCATCCTTTCAGTTTTGTCAATGCTAAGGGAGCCCATATCAAATGCCACTCTGTTTTGTTACAGTCAGTATTAATCATTTTGTTTTATGCCACTATTAAAATAGCAGACGGAGAACAATGATACAGATTTCCGTTGTGATGCACCCGAAATGTTAATTCTGATTTTTTCCTTCACAGATGCTGCCAGACCTGCTGAACTTTTCCAGCAACTTCTGTTTTTGTTTCTGATTTACAGCATCCGCAGTTCTTCTGGTTTTTAATGACACTGATTTTTTTTCATCTTGTGTACCATTCTGGTCTCTCATATTGTTCCATGTTGTAACATTATGTAGTGATGCCACATCAAGATTTGCTTTAGGAACAAAAACAAAGTTGCTGGAAAAGTTCTACAAGTCTGGCAGCATCTGTGAAGGAAAAATCAGAGTTAACGTTTCGGGTCTGGTGTACCTTCCTCAGAAAACGTCAGTTTATATGCAGAAAAAAGGGGAGGGGGATTTAAGATTTGCTTTAGGTCAGGTGTCATGTTCAGTAGCTTTGACAGTTTATGTAGTTGGTGCTGTTTCAGATTATATTCATTTTTCCCTCACTCTTTATTTTCTTTATCAGGCTGTTTAACTGGTTAAAAAAAATACGCCTGGTGTTCTTGGTATTATCTGAAGAGGAGTGGGAGCTAAATTTGATGCTCTTCAAATGGGCACAGGGGTCATGACAAGTGTTTCCTTTAAATTGTGCAGGTATTTGACCACACTATGTTGGGAGTGTGCCAAACTGAAAACACACGCACATACTGTTCACAAACAGGATTCCCATTATTATGCGCCATGAGTGGCTATGGTTTAGTTTTAAAGAGACTGAGCACTGCAACAAGCTGACCATAGACAGAAATGAGGGAAGACATTGATGAAGGTACATGATTACAACTTGAACAGCAGGTCAACTTTTCATTTCAGTATTTCAGCATTCAACCAGTGTTAACAATGGTGTTGACTGTCTGGATATTTCAGCAGGGGCTATGCATTGCGTTGTGTCACCAGATGCAAAGAAGAGTCAGGCAGAACTTAGCAGAAATTCTGAATGCTTTGCTAAGTGCTGACTCTCCTAATTTGTGCGTAGCTTTGCAATTGGATGTACAATAAATATGGGGCTTGCAACTTAATCAGCTTGTCGTCTATTGGTTTGGAAGTGAATTATAAGGAGAGAAGAAAAATGAAGAAAATGAAATTGCAGTCAGTGAGACTTGAGGTATATGTTAAATATTTGAAAACTATGATGCACAAATATGCTGTAAAGACAGAATTGTGGCTTTAAATAAAGTTAATAGTAAGGTGATTGGCACTTTGAGTTAAAAATCCTTGTGTCGGTCTCATAACCGATAACATTAAGTTTAATGAGCCAGCAATAAAATAGGTTGGTGATAATATATGACAGGGTGTGATATTTAAAAACAAAAAAAAATTGTTTCCCACATACCTTAAAGTACTAATAAAACTATGTCTTATGGAAAAGTGGGAGCATAAGAAAGAGTGTGGACTGAACAACAAAAGGACATGTTTAACAAGAGCACATCAAGCGCAATGATTAAAGGATGTCAGGCAGTAGGTTCCTTATTTATTGCTGAACAATATTGTACAGCAACCTGTTGCTGAAAATTTCTTTGTTTCTTTCTTAGGATTGGGAGTTTCCACGATTTATGGAAAATTTGGAAATCAACCTACCTGGTCTTCCAACCTCACAAATTCACCTAAGACTGCCTCATTTCCAGAAGATATTCAAGGAAGAATACATCATTTGTATAACAGGTAAGAAAGCTTAATATGGACATAGGAGTTTCTATTGGATAAATTAAGCTAAAGACAGATGTATAAATTTACAGTGAAGAATGAATTATGTCTGATTATGCCCTTTGATCCAAATTGACCTGACCTTGCTAACCTTATTTCACCTAAAAACTATATTTATTACTTACTCTGTGTAAAGCCACGAGAGTCGATAAGTAATCTGGGCAGAAAACAAAAATGTTACAGACTAAATGTTATTGGCATTTTTACTTGCTGTTTGCCATCTTTTGTATCTAATGATATTTGCCTGGTATTTAAAGTTCTCCAAAGATCAATAATTTTCTAAATAATTGGGAGCTTGCAAAATCATACATGATTTAGTTCAAAATCTGCAAAAGCTTTAATAGATAAAAGCAAAACTGCAAATGCTGTACATCTGAAATAAAGGCAGAAAATACTGGAAATAATCAGATCTGGAAGCATCCGTTGAAAGAAACAATAAATTTTTCAAGTTGCTGATCTGTCATCAGCAGTCTTTTCAATTTTGATGCACATACATGTTTAATGCAAGGCCCATAAGCCCACTAGGGACATCAGTGTCAGTTTAATACCTTTGCTCTCTTTCTGGGGTTGTGCACTGTACTGCCATTTGCATCTGGAATAGCCAGCCTGATTCATCCTAGTGGGTATCCCTATTGCACGCTGGAAGCAGCGGACCTGGTATTACCTAAGGTTACTCAGCCTACTGACTGATGTGTGGCCTATTATCCTATTTTGGACTGTGCTGTCTATTCAATGAGTTTCTAAATCATTCACTAATATGAAGTGCTCAGTTGCAAAAGGAGAATAGCACGAAGTGTGACTTAAAAGGGCCAGACACCCAACTTGTAGATACGGTAAATTTGAAGAGCCTCTGCTATTGCCAGGTGTTTGAGCGTACTGTGGAATGTTTTTAGATGCACTGTGGTGAGTTCCTGAATTTGGCATGGTGTGTTGCTACATATTCACAGGGAGGGGAAAGAACTCAGCGACCTGTCCACAGAAAGGCTGCAACGGGCCTGCAGTGCCTCTGAATCTACAGCACAATGGGCTGAGGGAGTACAGGGTGCAGCTCTGTACAGTGCTGATGGTTAACTTGGAACTAGATCATGCCGTCCTCATTGAGAATGACAGGAGTTTGTTTCGCAGACCTGCTAATGTACACAGCATCTTGGTGTGCATAATCATGCACATGTTTGTCGGTATATTTCCTCACTGAGCTCATCCAAGGCTGAACTCATCAGTGACCTCAAACCCTACTTTTCCCCAGATCTAGCTAAAACCCAGTTGTGGCCAATGACTCACCATATACTGATTCCGACTCAATCCTAAGCTGGTGACTGCAAGGACCCGATCAATTGACAAGGTGTTGATGCTTTCTGTCCTTTTTGTTGGGTTATACTGGTTGGGCTGGCAGCGGGTCTTGGATGTTTGAAAGCAGCGTGAGGGAAGTGAGGCATAGTGGGAAGTTGGAGGTCCATGGTCACATCATTAGCAGCTTGTTTGTCTGGATGGTAGCAGAATGTGGATGAGGTGGGATTTGAGGAAAGCATGAGGCAGGAGCATTCTCACTGTTCTCAGCAACACCGGTCACAGTAGCTCTCTCCACACAGTGGGCCGTCCCTTCTGAAGGGCTCAGGCAATGCAGGGATCCTTATTTGTCTTGCTGTGTCCTCTCAATTGTTATCACCAGCAAGGGAGAAGGCAGAACGTCAATGATTATGTTCCTCTGCATTCAAGTGATGTGCCTACTTTTGCTGGAGGCATTTGAAGATTGCAAGAGTTGGATGTAAGGCTGGCAGCATTGGTGGGTGCATGAGGGTGAGATGGAGTATCTGAGAGCCAGAGGCTGGTGCTTGTTGAGTGATGCAGGTGTGATTCATTGAGGAGCGCAAGAGACTGATATGTAGTGGATAGGAGATGCCTTGAGAAAATGTATTCATGAATCTCGACTACCAGCACAAGGTTACCAGCTCCTGATATCAGAAATTGACCATCCTGATTAGCTCCTCCCAATCTCTCTGAATGTTACTCTTGACATCCCTTGGGCCTCTGCAGGGCCCACTGTCTGTCCACCTCTAGCACCAAGGACTCTAGAATCATATCTTTGATCCTGGAGCCCCCTTTGGAACGGTGCTATTCATTGCAGCTTCCATGAAGAGGAACTGAATTCCTTCAAGAGCACCAGGTGTACTCTAACAGTTCAAGAAGGAAACTCACCATCACCTTCTCAAGGGCAATTATCGACGGGCAATAAATACTGGCCAGCAAGTGACACCCACATCTCACAAATGAATTTTAAAAAAAGACTAGCTGCATTATCGGCTCAGTGTTGCATTACTCCCTCCTGAGTGCTGAGGCAGCTGGTCAAACAGCCTATTACATCTGCTAATGAAATGAGGTAGCAGCACTAAGTTTACATGCTGCCTTCCTTCCCCAGAACCAGCAGGGGAAGATCGTGACTTGCGTCCCTCTGCCTAAAAAATGGAGCTTCGCCATTTTTAACTTGATATATTTCACTACAATGAATTGTGTTTTGGTGCCCGAGCTGTGCATCATAAATAAAGAAGTATTCCCTGTGAATGTTGGAGATAATTCATGTTTGAGACAGTTTTCCATCTCATTCTTACAATATTTATCATATCTATTTACAGGAAAATGGTTTAACTATGGCATCATCTTTCTTGTGTTGATTTTGGACCTGAACATGTGGAAGAATCAGATATTTTACCAGCCATTTGAATATGGCCAGTATGTGGGACCTGGACAGAAAATCTACACGGTCGGCGATCCGGAGACATTAAAGAATTTAAACAAAACAACCCTAAACTGGGAATGGCGATCAACTAATATTGACACCCTCACTAACAGAACTTATGCCCAGAGTGACTTGCTTTTGCACAGTAGGTATATAGGTGCTAGACTTGGGATTAAATGTCTTGCTTTTATTCCAAGCATTTTTGCATTTATCTTGTTCGGGTTCTTCATCTGGTTTTTTGGAAGATTTCAAAAAAGTGAATTAATTGGGAGCAAACAAGATAATTTGTATGTGAAGATCAAGAGGAAATCACCATCTGAATTTAGCAAAGATTTGAATGACTCTGCAGAAGATACACACACATCTGGATCTACAAAGGATGAATCATCGATGGTCACAGGGTCAGAATTGGTAACAGCTACAATACACACAACTACCTCTACTTCTTCTGAAGGCCAGAATACTTGCTTGGAGAATTCACAGAGTAACATAAAGCACGACACAAAGCCAGACGGTGAACACATGTTCACAGTTCTTTCTGATGCATCGACAAAAAAGTTATCCGACAAATGTGTTAACGTTTAAATTTAAAAGCACACGCCTTAAATGGGATTTTACCTTTACATTTTTACATGTTTGTAGATCTTTATACATGTGCTGTTAGTCATTTTGACTTGCAAATTACTGAACTAGACGTAACAAAAAAAACTAGAGTGTGAAGATGGTGGTTCTGCAGTGGAGCAGCAATCACTTTTATCTTTAAAGAAAGCATATTATTGTGCCTATATCTAGACATTCCTTTATGTCTTGCCTTTTGCAATGGCTCACAATTTATGTTAATGCTGTATTAAAATATACAGTAATATAGTATCCATCTCTAACACAAAGATAAAATGATAAACACTGTACTAGTTGTGCCTTGAGAAGTTCCATTTTGTACTGTTGTCTCAAGGATTTTTTATGAGGTGTTTCCTTTCCAACTTCACAAAATAAAACATTAGCAGTTCTTAATTCTCTAATGAGACTACTTGCAAGGCTGCTGGACTTTTACTCATGTAAGCTGGATTCATCTGAGATTGAGATAACAAAGTGTAGAGCTGGATGAACACAGCAGGCCAAGCAGCATCAGAGGAGTAGGAAGGCTGATGTTTCGGGCCTAGACCCTTCTTCAGAAAGGGTCAGCCTTCCTGCTCCTCTGATGCTGCTTGGCCTTCTGTGTTCATCCAGCTTTACACCTTGTTATCTCAGATTCTCCAGCGTCTGCAGTTCCTACTATCTCTTCATCTGAGATTGGTTTTGTTATTGGAAGTGCTCCAGTTATGAATATGTGATCCCGATGTTTAATTGGTGATGGTGCAGATAATATTGACATCTGAACTGTACATTAGAGAAGAAGTGTCTTTTTATATAATTCTTTTGAATTGGCTGCCTGCCAAAGTAAGCAATGAAGAGGAGACATATGTATATGGATCACTGTGCACAAAGAGGATATATTTCACAATCAGAATTGTGTTGCATACTGTATACTAAAGCACAAACATCTGAGCAATTATATATATAAAAATACTAACTACCTACGGATGTAGAATAAATGGTGTAAGCCCTTAAGCTTATGTTCATTGTTCTTTGCAGACCCCTACTATGGTTTAAAAATGTCAACTATTCTGACACATGACTTCCTTTAAAAATGAACACAGCTGTGTGCTTAAAAATGAATATGCCAGCTGTACCACTCTTGCCAACTTTTGCTTGGAATTTTTGTCAAATTCAATAATCTTGCACCAAAAAGCTGAAAGGTTAACCAGTTTGTTGTAAAGAATGACAAGAAATGATACCATTTGCCACTCATAGGACATATTTGGGCAATTTTCCACGCGGTCAGGTAGATGCCAGAGCTGTTGCTGTATTGGAACAGCTTAGCTAGGGAAGGTCTGAAGAACACGTCTTCAATAATATTGTTGGAATGTTGCCAAGGTCCATAGACTTTGCAATATTCAGTTCCTTCAGCTGTTTCTTGATATTACATGGAAGGAATTGAACAAGCTGAAGACTGTCATCTGTGATGCTGTGGACCTCTGGATGATTGTTGCAAATGCTTCAGCTTCCTCTTTTGCATTGATATAAAATGGGCTTCCTGTTATTGAGGATGAAGATATTTGTGAGGTTTACACCAGCAGTGAATTGTTTAATTTTCTACCACCATTGATGACATAGTTGCAGGAAGACTGCAGAGCTTACATCTGATCTGTTGGTTGTGGAATCACTAGCTGCTAATGCTGTTCGGCTTGGAACTAGTCCCATGTATAACTTCACCAAGCCAACACCCCATTTTTAGGTATGCAGTCTTCATTGAGCCAGGGTTGATCCCCTTGCTTGATGGTAATGGTAGAGTTGTGGAGATATACCAGACCATAAGGTTACAGATTGTGCTGGAGTATGATTTTGATGCTGTTAATGGCCAACAGCGCCTCATGGATGCCCAGTCTTGAGTTGCTAGATCTGTTTGAAGTCTGTCCCATTTCATCATGGTGACAGTGCCACACAACACAATGGAGGGTATTCTGAATGTGAAGGTTTCCAAAAAGACTGTGCTGTGATCTCTCTTACCAATACAGTCATGGACAAATGCTTCTGCAGCAGGCAGATTGGTGAGGATGAGGTCACGTATGTTTTTTCGCTCCTGGTCTTTCACACCTGCCACAGACCCAGACTAGCAGCTATATCCTTTAGGACCTGACCAGGTCTGTCAGTGATGCTGCTGCTGAGCCTCTCTTGGTAATGGATATTGAAGTTCCCCATCCAGAGTGCATTTTGTCCCCTTGACATCCTCAGTGTTTCATTCAAGTGGCATTCAGTATGGAGGAACAATGATTTATTAGCAGAGTGGGATTGGTACGTGGTAATCACTGGAGGTTTCCTTTCCCATATTTGATCTCAAGCCATGAGACTTCATGTGGCCCAAAATCCACTGCGAGTCTGTCCTGCTGGAGTGTCAGGACATATCCGAGGATTGTATTGTCTGAAAGATTGTCTATAAGACACAATTGCAGGACTATAACTCTGTCAGGTTGTTGCTTGACTGGTCTATGGGACTGGTCTCTCAATTTTGGCAGTAGCCCCCTGATCTTGGCGGATATTCGGGGCTAAGTTGGCAGTTGTTATTTCCAGTGCTTTTGTACACACCAAGTGGTCCATCTGGTTTCATCATTTTTCGTCACCTTCTAATGATTTGATACAACTTTGAAATGGCCTAGCAAGCTACTGAGGGCTGTTAAACATCAACCATATTTCTGAAGAAGGGTCTAGGCCCGAAACATCAGCCTTCCTGCTCCTCTGATGCTGCTTGGCCTGCTGTGTTCATCCAGCTCTACACCTTGTTATCTCACATTGTTTGTGGGTCTGGTTTGGCCAGATAAGTTTTCCTTTCCTAAAGGGTATTTCTGAACCGAATGAGTTAGAATAATCAACAATTCATGGTCTTCATCAGACTTTTAATTCTGAATTTTTAAAAAAAATCAAATTCTACCATCTGCCATGGTGGGAGAAACTCTAGGTCCCAGAATATTACCTGGATGAAGTTATTGACTTGCTCGCCGAGCTGGCTTGTTTTTGTTCAGACATTTCATCACCATGCCAGGTGACATCATCAGTGGAGCCTCCAATGAAGCGATGTTATTCTACTCTGCTTGGAATTTATACTGTCTGGTCCGTTATGGTGAGTAGTGTCATTTCCAGTTTTGATCTGTATGAGTTCATATATGTGGTCCAATTCTATATGTTTGTTGATTGTAGTATGGGTGGAGAACAATGCCTCTAGGAATTCCTGTGCTTGTCTATGTTTGGCTTGGGCTACTATGGGACAAGCACGGGAATTCCTAGAGGCAAGGTTCTCCACCCATACTACAATCAACAAACATATAGAATTAGACCCCATATATAAAACCATACAGATCAAAACTGGAAATGACACTACTCACCATAACGGACTGGACAGTATAAATTCCAAGAGTAGGATAACATCGCACCACTGATGGTGTCACCTAGCATGGTGATGAAACGTCTGAACAAAAAAAAGCCAGCTCGGCGAGCAAGTCAACAACCTCATCTACAACCCAAGCTACAAATCTTTGCCAACACTTTAAATATTACCTGGATCTCTGGATTACTAGTCTTTTGACCGTACCATTAGTCAATTGCTTCCATTAGCCTATTTTCTCATTTTGCCCAAAACTCTAATTGTGATTACTGTTTTAGACTTTATCTTCTCCAGCGCTTGCCTGCATTTTTACTGAGCAGAAAAATATGATTGAACTTGGTTTGACAACTTTAACCAAAGTGACATATTAGTGCCATGCGACATAACACATCGAAGACATTGGAAATATTAAGGAATTTCATGTCCATCCAGAATATTATAGCCTAAGCTTTAATTCAATAATTTTACTAAAAATGTAAAATAGTCTTGAACATTGAGTTTTGAAGACATCAGCTGTTAACAAATAGATCTAGAATTCAGCTGAATGACCATGGTTATGGTAAAGAGATCCAGTTTGGCAACAGCTTAGGGTAGGTGTGTAAATATATATTGAAACTTGTTCAAATACAGCTACCAGTAAATTTGCTCACCTGATAATTGTGTGGTAGCCTCAATTGTTGTACTTTACACCACAGAGGAAGCTGTTTGGCCCAGAATAGAGCCAGTTAAATGAAAGAGTGATATACTGAGTGTAACTTCCCATGCTCAGTTGTTATATGGAAAATGATCTACAATATTCTGTGAATTTAAGTCTGCTGTGGATCTTGTAACTATTGATAAAGTCAGTGTAATGTAGTTGCAGCAAGCAATTATCTCATTTTTATCTGAAGCTCTTGAATATTGCAACGTGGATCCATTATTTTTGTCGTCTTTTAATTACATGCCACTGACATGATTAACCTGTTTATTATTTCCGCAGTTTTGTAACTTTGAGTCTAAATTAATGATTGCTTTCTTTTTTACAAGGTATTTAATTAAGTTAAAGGTGCTGCACAAACAGAAGCTCAAATCCCATAAAATTAGGTAATCATAGGCTGCTTTGGTTCGCAAAGCACCCAAATTAATTTGAATGCACATACTTTTTTTGCACACTGCTTTGAGCAGCACAGTGAGGAAGGAATACCATCTGTCTCGCAGTTAGCAATGCGTGCATCTCACTGGAGAGTTTTGCTGTTAGCAATGTCACAAGCAATCTTTATCAATTTTGCAAGTGAGAGGACGTGTGACAAACTGCAATCTACAGGTTTAATCCTCACTAGCCTGGTGATATCTAACCTGGTTTATCACATCAGTACCTTTTCTTATTTCACTGTTAGCAACTACCAAAATTCTGTCTGACTTGGGAATTGATTTTCAAAGGCACGGGCTATTTCCCCAGGAGCGCGCACTCTGTGAACTGTATTCCTGCTTCACTGTTTCGTAATTATATCCACCTTTCGAAAAATATTCAACATTTTGTTTTTTTTCTGGTAGTTGGCTGCAGTCATTATGTTGGAAGTCATTAATGTTCAATAGTTTTGTTGTACAGTTGCATTTATTCCTGATTACTAATGTCACTTTGCATTTTGATTGAATAGAAATATAAGCCACCACTTGGTTATAAGTCTGGTGTGCTATTTACAGTAAGAATGAATCTAACTACAATGTAAATTGATATACAACAATATTTAACTTATTAAAACACATTTTCTAATTATCAGCCTGACAAGTGATGATGATAAATATTTTTATTATATAACCAACATCAAAATGCAGTGTGTTGAATCATATCAGCATTTGATATAATTCTTTACCCTGTGACAGAAGATTGTTGGTCCAAACTGTACACCATAAATACACATGCCTAGAATTACCACTTGACATGCGCTAGACTTGCATCAGAACTATAGTTGAGTGTATTGGGAAATTCTTTAGGAGCCTTTTCCCTTTTCCCCCACTATTTCCAATATTTTCTGCTAGAAGCTGACTTTGGGTACATTCTAGAATTGTACAAGTAGGAATGGAAGCATTATAAATAGATGA